ATTGTCAGCAATGATCCCACCCACTGCTGTGAGTTGATTCCAACTCATGGTGACCCTACAGTGCACAGCAGAACTGCTGCATGGAGTTCCCAAGGCTGCAAATCTCGATGGGAGCAGATTGCCACATCTTTTTCCTATGGAGCAGCTGGTGGATTTGAACCGCCAGCTTTCAATTAGCAGCAGAATCCTTTAACCACTGTGTCATCAGGGCTCCTTCAGCAATAATAGAATTGCATATTTGTTGTTTTTAGTTGCTGTCATATTGATTCCAGCTCGTGGAGACCCCCTCTACAACATAAGGTAATGTTGCTCAGTCCTGTGCTTTTGTCATAATTATTGGTTTGCCTGAGTCCATTGGTTGCTACTGGGTATTTTGAATGCCTCCAAATTTAGGGGGCTTATCTTCCAGCAATGTGTTGCACAATATTCTGTTGTGATTTATAGGGGTTTTCTCTGACTAGTTTTTGAAAATAGATTGCTAATCTTTTTTTCCGAATCCATCTTAGTCTGAAAGCGCCACTGAAGCCTATTTAAAATACTGTAACATAGCTTCCAGAATCATAGCAACACGTAAGCTACCACAATACAACAAATAGACAGATAAGTGGTGAAGAATTGCATGCAGACCAAGTCAAACAAATATTGATAATTATAGTGTTAATAATAATAATAGTGATAAAAATAATAATGATATCATCCAGCCTTTGAGTGGTTAATGCTTCCTACATACTGTGCTAAATCCTTACGTATACTAAATCATTTAATCCACACAATAATCCCAATTTTACAAAGGAGATAATTGCACAGCAATATAAGGCACCACTGCCCCAGGTCTCAGAGCATGGGAGTGGTAGAAACAAGACTGAAATCTAGACTGTCTGTTCCCAAGAACCATATCTTGGAGAACTTTGACAAAGTCATTTCAGTAGAATGAGAATGGCAGAGATAACTGTGCTTGGATTTAAAAAGTACGTGATGAGGAAGTGAAGTCAAAGAATAGATAAATAGTTTAAGGTGTTTTCTTCATTAATCAAATATTCAAGCTCCTATTGGTGGCATAGTGCCTAAGGCATTTGACTGCTAACCAGAAGGCTGGTGGTTCAAACCCACCAGCCACTCCTAGGAAGGAAGGTTGGGCAATCTACTTCTGTAGTGATACTGCCTCAGAAACCCAAGGAGGGGTCACTATGAGTCGGATCCAACTCAATGAGTTGGAGTGAGTTTGGTTTGGTTTGGTATTGTGTACCAGCCCCTGTTGTATGCCAAAGAAAGGATGGTGTAGTCCTTGCCCTGAAATTCTCAGGCTAGGGGATTGAGAAAGGAGACTGGAAAAATTATACCTTGAATAGGAAGCAAGACTCAGAAAGCTTTGCTTTGTTTCTTAGTTCTAGGATAATGAAGATTTACCATTAAGACAGAGTAAAGGAAGGAAGCCATTGGAAGGTAGAATATGAAAACTCACCACAGACTCATCTATCAACCTCCAAATTGATAATTTTCAATAACAACAATTCCCTTATATATTTAAAACAGACAAATCAATTAGAGTCCTTGACACTTGGCATATGTGGTTAATATGATTGTTATTAATTACCAAATCCAGTTAAAAGTATATTTTAAGTCAGAATTATCTTCTTTAGAGGTCCATATGGATTAAATTTCTACTTAGTAGTTTGTAGAACTAGTTCTAATGTAATATTTTCCCACCCCCATCACCCATTTCTACTTCTCAGTATTTTTGTGCAAACTTCTTCACAATTACTAGGGAGTTTTTTTCAAGGTAAAAAAAAAAAACAGATTAATAAACCTAAACTAATTAATTAATTAATGTATTAATTAATTTCCTGTGTTCTAAAAGCATGGAGTTATCATGCAGGCATGCAGTGATTTTATTTTTTTAAAGCATTATTATAGCTTAAAAAGACAAGTTTCTAGAGGCTATCTTTTTCATAGAAAGGGTGTTGTTTCAAATGAGGGCATGGAAACCAGCAAGTGTTGGCTTCTGTTTTTGTTGTGTACCTTCCAGAAGTTTTTAAGTGAAGACTCTTTGTACTGTAGCTCTTTCCACAGAGAACTGAGTGATACTTGAAGAAATATTTTCATTTTTCCAAAGAAAAATATGATGCTTCTTTCGCAAGCCTCTCTCTTATTCTTAAATATATATATTTTTATCTATGGAGAAGCTGTACAAGGTAACTGTGTACAACATTCTACGGTAAGAATTTCAGCAATATTACTTTTGCTAGGAAAGTATAGTTAGTTTTAAAAATGTAGTCTAGAATTTCTAAAAGATTTATTATACAAAAAAGTATAATTTATAGAATGGTTAAGATATTTATTTACAAATATTGAGATGTTGTGTAAATGATAATAATGTTAAACTTAGGAAATAAAAAACTGATACTTGACTCAAAATATCCTTTTATGAAAATATTTTAAAGAAATAGCACACTTAGGTTAAAAACTAGTCAGCAACTTTTCAACTGACTTTATAATGAAATAACTGATGGGTAGTAAAAAATTCTTCTCACTGTTTTTGACTATTCTATATTTTTTTTCTTCAAATATTGTCTTCTGAGTGGTTATCTAGGAGGTTAGATTTTTTTTTCAAATTAATGTTAGAATGATTATCTAATATTTTATATGCAATGTTATCAGTAGATTGAATTTCAGTCTTCTTTACATACTTAAATATTGGTTTATAATTTTCAAATGTCATGCCACTGTGTTAAAACCAAATTCCAAAGTTCCATGAATGAAGCAAATAAAAGTTCTAGGAAAGTTTTAGAAATATGAAGGAAGTTAGTTTTTGAGAGTATTTGGTAAAATTTAACATCCTTATTTAGTTCTGAAAAAAACATAGCTGCAATGTAGGTTTTTGAAACATCTTAGATGTTATAGGAATATAGGGAAAGAACAAGAAATTAAAAATAGATCTTTGTCACAAAATGTAAGCACCTTAGCACTATTCTCAATAGCTAAAAGTCGGAAGCAGCCCAAATGCCCACCAACAGATGAATGTGGTACGTATATACAATGGAATATTACTCTGCCATAAAGAGAAATGAAGTCTTGGTACACGTCACAGCATGGATGAACCTTGAAAACATTATGTTGAGTGAAATAAGTCAATTACAAAAGGACAGATATTGTATGATCTCACTAATAGAAGTACACCCATCCACTGCCATCAAGTCCATTCTGACTCATAGTGACCCCGATTGGATTTCGGAGGTGGTAAGTTTTTACAGAAGTAGATTGCCCAGTCTTCATTCTGCAGAATGGCTAGTGGGTTTGAACTGCCAAAAATATGTAAACATCTTTTTGGGCAAATGCTTTTATAATTTAAGTAGCTCTTTATCCTTGTCTCAGTACCCAAGTCAAAACAGCTTGTGTTTACTTTCAATAACAGAGTTACTACATCTGTATAACTTCAACCAAAAAAATGTTTTCATGTTGAAGAAATCAACAAATATAAATACCTTTAGAATGACAGCTGTAGTTGGCCTTTTATAATGACATCTGTTGTTGATTTTGCAAAGCAAAATTCCATGCTAAGTTTTGTTTCCCTCATCAGGAATATTTTTCAAATCCAGGAATACTTTAACTTTCAAATCTGTGACTACTTTAGCTTATACAAAAGGGACATGCCTCCTACATATTTCTTCCCAATTCCTAATAATAGGTGACAGAAAGTCCATTTGACATAGAATTGTCCAACTCGATGGCACATAACAACAACAACAATCGCAAGGAAGTTTTTAAATCCCTTTTGAAGAAGTTAAAAATTGCAAGATTTCTGTAAGAGAGATGGATCAACATTTTGTCACATGTAGGAATGTAAAAAGTTAAAAGTCTAGCCCATAAAGTCACAGTTATAGAAAGTAGACCCAAAGGAAATCCTCTTGGAATTCGAGGAAACAAAAGAGAGTGACAGAACTGAATTAACTTATGCTTATTATTCATACTTAAAATTTATCTCTAGGATTTATCTGTGGAAGTTTGTGCTAACAAGTTCCTTATGTTTTTTTCCTAATAAGTATCCTCATGTAACTCCTGAAATTGAACTTTTTTTCTATGTTGTTGTTGTTAGCTGCTGTTGAGTTGGCTCTGACACATAGTAACCCTATGTATAAAAGAATGACACACTAGTCATGGGCCAACCTTACCATCCTTGCTACACTTGAGCCCAACACTGCAGCCACTGTGTCAAACCATCTCATTGAGGGTCTTCCCCTTTTTTTCTGACCCTCTACCTTACCAAGCATGATGTCCTTCTACAGGAATTGGTCCCTTCTGACAACATGACCAAAGTAGGTGAGATGACATCAAGCCATTCTCGTTTCCAAGGAGCATTCTGTCTGCACTTCTTCCAAGATAGATATATTTGTTCTGGCAGTCCATGGTATTTTCAGTATTCTTCACCAACACCATAACTCAAAAGCATCAACTCTTCTTTGGTCTTCCTTATTCATTGTCCAGCTTTCACATGCATATGAGGCTACTGAAAATTCCATGACTTGGGTTAGGTGCACCTTAGTCTTCAAAGTGAACTCCTTGCTTCTTAACACTTTAAAGAGGTCTTTTGCCTCAGATTTGTCTAGTATAGTAAGTCATCTGATTTCTTGACTGTTGCTTCCATGGGTGTTGATTGTGGATCCAGGTAAAATGAAACCTCTGACAACTTCAATCTTTTCTCCATTTATCATGATGTTGCTTATTGGTCCAAATATGAGGATTTTTGTTTTCTTTATGTTGAGGTGTAATCCATACCAAAGACTGTAGTCTTTGATCTTCATCAGTAAGTGCCTCAAGCCATCTTTACTTTGAGCAAATAAGGTTGTGTCATCTGCATATCGCAGGTTGTTAATGAGTCTTCTTCCAATCTTCATATAGGTGCTGCATTCTTCAAATAGTCCAGCTTCTCAGATTATTTGCACAGCATACAGAATGAATGAGTGTGGTGAAAGTATACAACCCTGAAGCACACCCTTCCTGATTTTAAACCATGCAGTATTCTCTTGTTCTGTTTGAATGACAGCTTCTTAGTCTATGTACAGGCTCCTGATGAGCACAATGAAGTGTTCTAGAATTCCCATTATTTGCAATGCTATTCGTAATTTGTTATGATCCACACAGCCTAATGCCTTAGCATAGTCAATAAAACACAGGTAAACATCTTTCTGGTATTCTTTGCTTTCAGCCAAGAGCCATCTGACACCAGCAATGATATCCCTTATTCCATTTGCACATCCTCTTCTGAATCCAGCTTGCATTTCTGGAAGTTTCCTGTCAATATACTGCTGTAACCATTTTTAAATTATCTTCAGTAATATATTACTTGGGTATGATATTAATGATGTTGTTCAATAATTTCCATATTCTGTTGGATCATCTTTCTTTGGAATGAGTACAAATATGGATCTCTTCCAGTCATTTGGCCAGGTAGCTGTCTGCCTAATTTCTTGACATAAGCCAGTAAGCACCTCCAGCACTGCACCCCTTTGTTGAAATATCTCAGTGGGTATCGGTTAATTCCTGGAGTCTTGTTTTTTTGGCCAATTCCTTAAGTGCAGCGTGGACTTTTTCCTTCAATATCATTGATTCTAATCATATGACACCTCCTGAAACAGCTGGACATTGACCAATTTTTTTTAGTACAGTGACTCTATGTATTCCTTCCATGTTTTTTCTTTCTTTTCTTTTCTTTTTTTAAATTCTGGTTTGGGTGAAAGTTTACAGAGCAAGTAAGTTTCCATATAGCAGCTCATGTATACTTTGTCTCATGACATTGGCTGCAATTTCCCACAATGCAACAGCTCCCTTCCCACTTCCTCCCCATAGTTAACTTTTTCCTGTGTCCTTCTCTCCATGAACTCCTGCCCCCTGAGCTGTCTCCCTGTTCATACACAACCATTCTATTCTCTCATGATTGTTCTCTCCAAGGAGTGTATCTACCTAATGTAAATGTTCAGCTCATATGCCTGTCTTTTGTTTGGCTGGAAGCCACAGGAGTAGGTTCAATTCCAGACCTGAAGGACAGCTAGGGGCCATAGTCTCAGTGGTTCCACCAAGCTCTATTAATCAGACCAGGAAACCTGGTCCATTTTTTTTAAAAAAATGATTTTGAGTTTTGTTCCACATTGTTCTCCCGCTCTATCCAGGATCTCCTACATAGATCCCCCTCTGAGTGGTTGACAGTGGTAGCTGGGCACCATCTAGTTCTTCTAGTCTTATAGCCATATAGGCTGAGGATCGCATAGTATACCAGTCTCTTGGAATAATTGTTTCCATGTGTCTTTGGTTTTCTTTATTCTTCTCTGCTCTGGATGAGGAGAGACCCATCATTGCATCTAGATGGCCACTTGCAAGCTTTTAAGATCCCAGTTGCTACTCGCCAAAGTAGGGTGTGGAACAATGTTTTTGTGTAGTATATTATGCCAACTGAGCTTGATGTCCCCTGTGACTATGGTCCCAAGCCCACAAGTCCAACTACTCTCTCCCTCTGAGTAGCTGGCTGTGACCAAGAAGTGACTACACCCTGTTCCTTGTAAACTCTACTAAATACCTGGGAATCCTTACAGGACATACAAACACACTTGTAGAAACATTGTTTGCCAACCCTACTTGGGCACACTCCCCCCTGCATAGACATATCTAACAGTTCAGCCTGTCCACTCATATATCCACCCATATATCCATGTTTGCCTTCGCTGATAACAGAGTACTGTATGTGCAAAAGGGTTCATCTTTGTTGTCTGTACCTCCCACACATCTCTCTATGTCTTCCTCTTCCTCAGTGCCACCATGTTGATCACTCACATTTGGTACATTACCCTTCTCTTCACCCAAATCAATACTTGTCTCTACCTATCTAACAGTGTTCCCTTTCTTTCCTTCCCAGATCTGGTAACCAACAAAAAAATTTACTTCCATATATAATCCTTTCCTTGACTTTTTACAATAATGGACTAATACAATATCAGTCCTTCTGTGATTGACTTATTTCACTCAGCATAATGTCCTCCAAGTTCCTCCATGTTATGCGGTGTTTTGCAGATTCTATGTTATTCTTTAGGGTTGCATAGTGTTCCATTGTGTGTATGTACCATAATTTGGTTATCTATTCTACAGTTGATGGACACCTAGGTTGTTTTCCTCTTTTGGCTATTGTAAATAGTGGTGCTATGAACATGGGTGTGTATACATCTGTTC